TTCTACCTCAAGTGTTATTTAAGAACTCATATTTCCAGTAATTCTGAATGAGATACATACTGCCTGAATCTATTAATATTTCCTCTGAAGAAAATCTCAGAGTTTAAGATGGTTTATTCCCAAACATGTAACATTATTGCCTCAATCTCTCTAGCACTAGACTTGCACAACTTCCATAGTGCTCCACAGTACTTTGGCAAGTTCCTTCAGATATGCCAGAAGTCACTTGGTGTATGCACAGGACAGTGTTGTTGTTTGTGTATTTGTGTGCACATGTCTACATGAGTGTGTGTGGGTACAGTATGTAATTATTTTGAGTCTTATCTATGAATTGTCCCTTAAAATAATACAGCACTGCCAACCATAACAGTTCATTAGAGATCTATACCTTATAAAGAGAACTTGTGCAGCACCTTTAAGACTGAAAGAGTTGATTAAGTGGATTCTAGTCCACAAGAAAATTGGAGAAATCAAGGGATCGTTTCATGAAAAGCTGGCCATGATAAAGGGCAAAAATGGTAGGGACCTAACCGAAGTAGAAGAGATTAGGAAAGGATGTATATTGTCACCTTGCTTATTTAATTTATATGCAGAGAACATAATGCAAAATGCCAGCTTGGATGATTCAGAAGCCAGAATTAAGATTACTGGGGAAAACATCAACTACCTCAGATATGCAGACAATACCACTCTAATGGCAGAAAGTGAAGAGGGCCTAAACAGCCTCTTGCTGAAGGTAGAAGAGGAGAGCACAAAAGTGGGCTTGAAACTCAACATAAAAAAAAAACTAAGATCATGGCATCCGGCCCCATCACTCCTTGGCAAATAAAAGGAGAAGTCGTGGAAGCAGTGACATACTTCACGTTCCTGGGATCCAAGATCACTGCAGATGCGGACTGCAGCCATGAAATTAAAAGATACCTGCTCCTGGGAGGAAAGCGATAGCAAACCTAGACAGCATAATAAAAAGTAGAGACATCACCCTGCCAACAAAAGTCCACATGGTCAAAGCAATGGTATTCCCAGTAGTTATGTATGGCTGCGAGAGTTGGACTATAAAGGAAGGCTGAGCACCGAAGAATAGATTCTTTTGAATTATGGTGCTGGAAAAGACTCTTGAGAGTCCCCTGGACTGCAAGATGATCAAATCAGTCAATCCTAAAAGAAACCAATCCTGACTGTTCCCTGGAAGGCCAGATACTGAAGCTAAAGCTCAAATACTTTGGCTACCAAATGAGAAGGGAGCACTCACTGGGGAAGATCCTGATGCTGGGAAAGATGGAAGGTCAAAGAAGAAGGGGACGGCAAAGGATGAGATTATTAGACAGCGTTATCAAGGCAAAACCGGAAGACAGGAGGGCCTGGCGTGATGTGGTCCATGGGGTTGCAAAGAGTCAGACTCGACTGGGCGACTGAACAACAACAACAAAAACTTCACAAGACCTTATGTTAGAATAAAAGCTTTTTAGTTTTTAAGGTAACCCAAGACTTCCTTATTTTTTTGCTTTAACAGATTAACATGCCAATCCCTGTAGACTTGTACAACAATCCAGGTGTACTTCAAAGTAACAAGTCACATTATGCTGAACAAGACATACTTCCATGCAAACATGCATAAGGCTGAAACATTAAGGCATCACAAGCCTCTGTTTATTTTTCCTGTAGTAAACTTACACTCCTAAAACCTATTACCTCACAACCAAAGCATGTGAAGAGTGATCTAAAATTTACTACAAAAACAAACACTAGTCATTTGCTTTTATTGCTAGTCCCGTGCCTCTCACTTTGCACTTCCCCATCTATGACCCACACACTTACCACCCAACAGGTCCTGCAAGTCTCTGCTTCCCACATGCAATGCACAAAGGGAAACAACATTTACCAAGACAAAAACAAAGCACACCGATTTTTCACCTACCCTCCTGCAAACAGATGCACACAAGTATCTTTCTGGTTCATCGTCTCTCATTCTTGTTCCCACCAAACACGAAAGGAGAGCAGGGAGAAGGCGGAGGGCAAGGCTCTGCTCTCCGCTCTGCTATTTTGAGCAGAGATAAGGCGGCAGGGCTGCCATTCGATTCAGTCAACACAATCCAGAAGGGCTTAGTACTACTGCTCGTGCTATCCTCAGAGCTATAGGAAAACGCAGGCCCGGCAACTACTCCTGCCAACACAAAAAACCCTCCTTTCAGCGCAGCAGATGATACAGAAACACCCAACCACGAAAGACCCCGAACGACCGGCCTTCTCGCTTCTACATATGAAAGAAGGCCCAATATAAACAGACGCTGCCATTGGCGCTGGAGGGGACGTGACGTCACCATTCATGGCTTATCAGGCCTTGTGCACGTGATCAGAGCACTAAACTCATCAATGGAGGCGGGCGCAGCACAGAAGGAAAAGAAATGCGGTCTTACAACGGCGTGCTAGAGCAACGCTTCTTCCCAGCGCTCCGGGACAGGGGAAGCTGAGAAGCAGGAGAACGAGAGCTGAGGCTTCTACTTAAATCTGTCTGCCTGGGAGCGAGTCCCACATGATTTCCTTCCAAAGAAAAGGGAATAAGGAGAGTGCTGGGCCACGTGCATTAGCATGAAATGGACTCCCTGGCAGAACAGCGTTATCTATCGGATTAAGGAACGTTATCTTTTCACCTTTGGCTCTGCCGGGGGAAAGAATGACCTGGTTTCACACTCTCCCATCTACAACTCCTGTACACCAATAGGAAAGAAAGTGACCTTGTGAACGACAAACAACATCCTCTCGCGCTACGTGGAGGGAGCCAATCCTGTGCAGTTACTTCACAGTTAGATCTAGAAACTAAATAGAATTGCACTGAGGGAGGGAGGGCTTTATGCAAGTCGGAATGGAGACAGGATGGAGGTAGCTTCAAGAATTCTGGAGCCTCGCAAAAGAGATAATGTGCCTTCATCTAAAAACTCCACCCAAAGTAATTCCAGGTGGCTGAAGGCATAAAATAATCATTGTTGGAACAGACCAAAAGTATATCTAATCCACTACCTAGTAAAAAGGAAATACTATGCACGTTGTCATAGCAATTAAGGCATGCAAGCACAGCTGGGCTCTAATACTACAACAAAACAAGAACTTTCAACAGCGATAATCCCTGATAAATGTGAGGGGGGAGGGGAACCATATACTCCACCTCTCGTGTGTCAAAACTAGCCAAAATACTGCAGTGTCCAATTACGGACTACACTGGGTTTTAAAAATGGATTTCCCAGACACCTAGTTGAAAGTCTTCAAAAAAGCACACACATTTCTAATAATAAATAGGATACACAACAACAGCAACAAAACCTAAAAATACAAGTTAACATTTAAGGGTAGTCAGATTTCTACTTTCCAGTTCCATGGTATTTAAGTTCCTAAGACTACAATCATGCCTCTTCCCCCAACAGTTTTTGTCAATGCCTGGGATGGTTTTCTAGGTTGGATTTTTGTTCCATGAAATAATCCTGGGAGCCAGCCATTTTTCTATAAATGTATAATTCAGCTGAAGGGAACCCGTTTTCTCCAAACACTGATAAAAACCTGGGCTCTGCAAAGAGGAGTTTCCTCCCACTGCAGATGTCAGCAGGGATAATTAGCATTGTATGAAATATGGTTGCACAAGAAAGAAAACATAAGCCGCCTTAAAATTTCTAAATTCACCAGCCTGTGTCCAACAGTGACTACCTAGACACTTCCAGCAAAGCAGGACAGAGACATCAGCTTTCTTTTTCCTATGTACTTAGGAAAGGTAAACTGAACATTGAAGTTCTATTTAATTAACAGGGCTAACAGCTGTTGCTTGATAAAAGGACCACAGGCTGACTAATGACACAACAGTAGTTTAAAAGGCAAATCCAGGGACTTCATGATGTTTTACATTCAGGCTCCAAATCCTTGTCCATTTAAACCAGTGTCTCAACTTTCTAACAGTGGAGTTATTAATTTGTTGATTTTTAAAACAGGATTGTAGGTACACTTTACTGTCACAAAAACGTACCTTCCAGAGTGTGCACAAATACAAACTATTACATATTTCTGCATGATTCACTGCTCTGGAAAGTCAGGTAATTTTGCTGTTTCTCTGCATCAGGAATGCTACAATTACATCTGATGTAGAGGTGCAGAAAACTATCAAGCTCAACCAGAGGCTGAATCGAAGGACCAAAGCAGTGTTGTGATTCATACCTATACAACATGAAGCTTCAACTGCAGGAAGATATTTTTGGCCGATAGGAACCAATCCTATCTTCTTTTTTTGGCAGATTGGAGAACCACAATCATTTCGTCACAATCAGATGTGAACCATGAATGGAAAAAAATACAGTCTTCCAGGTAAAGATACTAGAGCATGTCAGAGTGGTCTAGCAGTTGGAACAACTGGAGGAATCTGGCCTGGCCTCAGATTTACCATGAAGAATACTGGGTGACCTTGGGCCAGTCACTCTTCCCTTGGGCCAGCCAAACCTACCTCAGAGGACTGTTGGGAGGATAAAACACCACACTGAGATCTTTGGAATCAGGGTCTAAACAGTAAAACCGTAATAAATAACATCGCCTAGCCAACTTCTTTTATCCCCACCAATGCGGGCTACCTCCATAGTCCACTCCTATGCACGTTTTACTCAGGAGTTAGTCCCACTGGATTCCAGCGAACGGGAGGGGTGGGGTTATTCCCAAATAAGTATGCAGGCTCATGCTCAGGACTACAGTCGTACACCGACTTGGTAGTCCGTAGCCCCCCCCCCCCCCCCCAGCAGCAGCCCCCCCTTTGCTCTTATCCCAAGAACCCCACTCCCGCTGCAAGTAAAACGGAGCCATCTTTCCCTCTTCCGGGAGTCACGCATCCCTCCCCACCCACCCTGACAGGCCCCATGAAAATTTGGCGGACACCCTCCCTACAGGCGAGGGAAGGACACGAACAGCTGAGTACACTCGCAGGCTTCTCCTGCCCCACCCAGAGGTCACATTTAACTGCCGTTTAGACCTACCCTCCAGCAAACAAGTGCACCAGGGTGTCTCTCTGGCTCATTCTCTCTCATTCTTGTCCTCAGCCGACGGGGGAGAGAAAGGGAGGGGAAAGAAGATGGTGTTGAGCACTTCCTTCTGCAGTTGCTTAATGGCGCAGCAAAGCCTGACTAGGCTCTATGACTGCCACCTATCGAGCACAGAGCAGATCACAGCTTTGGGAGGCTGAATGTTATTTATAACGGCGAGCGCTTCGCAAATCGTGAAGGACCCGCCAGTACTCGGATTCATTCCTCTCTGTTTCATGTAATATCTTTCAAGGGACGAACACGAATCTGCGAGGCTGAGGTTTGTAACGGAAACTTCCCTCTCAACCTTATATTGAGGGCAGTCGCATAAAATATGATATGCAGACTTCTCTGCACTGCAAAGCTGTCTCGCTTTTCTATAGGTGGGTTATGACACAAGGCGCAGTGCCCCAAACACAACTTAAATAGACCATTTCATTTAACTTGCTCCAGCTGTCGGATGAAGAGGTCTGATTCACAAAAACGTAGACTAGGAAACATTTTTTTGTAGATTATGGTAATACCTGTCCCAGTATTAAATCTTAATCAACTAGGAAATATTTTATTTTATAGGGTTACCAGCTCTTGTGTTGGGAAATTCCTGGAGATTTTGGGGTTGGAACCTGAGGCAGGTGGCGTTTGGGGCATAATGCCATAGCGTCCAACTTCTAAAGAAGCCATTTGCTCCAGGTAAACGGATCTCTATCACCTAGAGGTCAATTGTAATAGCAGATCTCCAGCCGCCACCTGGAGGTTGGCAACCTTATTTATTTAATGTTATAAAAATACTTGCAGTCTGGTTTTCCTGGTGTATTGGGTTCTGGTTTGCCATGAGAGGTGATTTCTGAAGAGGCTGATGGAGGTAACAAATGGCTGGTTTAAAGGTGTACTTCTTTTTCTATGACTGGTCTAAGGACTGTAGAAATAAATTTAAATTGAAATGGCTGGTTAACTAGGGTTTCCAGCTCCTGATTGGGAAATACGTGGAGATTTGGGAGGTAGAGCCTGAGGACGGTGTAGTTTGTGGAGGGGAAGTACTTCAACAGAGAGTATAATGCCATAGAGTCCACCTTCCAAAGTAGCCATTTTCTTCAGGTAAACTGATCTTTGTTGCCTGGAGATCAGTTGTAAAAGTGGGAGATCAGCTATGGTTAACCCTAGGGGGAGAGGGAGAACCCAAGGAAGGAACCTGTGGGAGACAAAGCTCTGATATTTTTCTGCTGGATTTGTTCCAGGGGAGAAGACAACCTGTAGAGCAGTTCAGAAGCGTGGTTTGTAGATGACTGCCCCCCTTCTGGTCAGCATTTTCTCTAAGCTGTGCATGTGAGGGGCCGCTTATTAACACAGGAAGCCCCACTCAGCAGCAATCTGGAGCTACGCAAGGTCCTAGACTGCCCATTGCTCATTTTAATATTATATTCTGCTCAGGATGTGAACTGCTCTGCTCAGTAGGGGGAAAAATAGAGGGAACGTTGCTTCTGGTGTGGACCTTTTGTTCCTCAGCATTTATGTGACTTCTGAGGGAACATTGCTCTCCATAGTCTTCGACGAAGGGAGACCAGCTGCAAGCATTCCATCTCAGCACTGGACTCTGCTGGGACATTTCCTACTTTCCCTAATCCACAGAATGCTTCCAGATTTTCCTGGAGTTTGTGAATCCAGAAGTTTATTTCTTCTAACTCATTGACTTTGGAACTGTTCAATATATCATTTTGTTAACACTGTTTCAACCCAAACTCCCAGTTCTATACCCCCCTTGTCTTTAAATAAGAATTGTATTTTATTCACACAGGTTTCAATGAGGTAGCATTGACTTTGAAAGCACTAGCAGCCTTACAGTTCAGCGCTTTTCAAGCTGAAAGGTTCACACCTTCTTACTTTCAGCGCTATGTGTGAGTCTTCTTAGAACACATGTGCTTATGGGACAAACAGCATACATATTATCAGTCTTCATTTCACCCATGGTACATATTTGCTACAGTGGGAGTTAGAATGGTATTATATCCCTGGGGCAAACTGGTCAGAGCAATCCAATTCTGTCTTCTCTAGGGCTCTTTTTTGTCTGGTGGCAACAAACCACACAATACAAAGTTGTGTGTATATCACCCTGAGTCCATGGGGGGGGGGTAAAGAGTTGGGGTATTCCATATATGGGGGGAAGGCACAATCCTCCCAGAGTGATTGGAGGGCCTGAAGCTGCAGGTAGCTTGCTTCACGAGGACTCTTTTCTGTAAAAGTGTATTAATATGAGAATTTATTATACTGATTACTGGAAGGGGGGATTGTGTTTATATTAATTGGCTGTTAGTCTGTATTTTTATCATTGTTATGAATATTTGCAATGATATTATATGTATCTTCCCAGAATGATAGGAGGGCCAGAAGCTGCTGGTAGCTTACATCAGAAGGACTCTTTTCTATAAAACTATGTATTATTTTAGAGCTACCAGAAACTCCAGAAAAGAAGGAACAAACGACAATGCAGAGTAGAGCTGCAGGTCAATTCATCTTTAAGGGACTAGAAGTCGGAAAGGTTGAGACCCTGGTCTGCTCAAATACAACAGACGTAAACTGTTACATGTTGATTATTGTTGTACATACTTAATTATTGGTCCAGATACTATGTATTTTGAAAAAAAGAAAGAAGAAAAATGAAGTTTGTTTATCGTTATTTTCATAAAAGTGTCACAAAGTCGGATCACACTCTCAAAGACAGTAACTTCCTCAGTTCTTTAATTTTTTCAAAAAATTATTTGATATTGCTCTTTGAATTTAACAGAAGTTACAAAAATAAAGTTGTGTGTATTTTCTGAAGTCCAAAAGCTGCACAAAAAAAATCACAAGAAGAGAAGCTGCACTTCTACCCTGCTTTCACTCATGCTGCAGTGGCCAAGTGTCCATACTGGAGCAGCAGTTGTGCACGTAGCTGAAATGTTTGCTTGTGACCATGTCAATTCCACTTATGACCAGAGGTCATTTGGGGGGGGATCACGGGGGATCGCAGTTCCCCCGGGTAAGGTACGGGGGGCGGGGCACATGACGAAGCCCCGTCCCCTGCTTCCGGCCGCCCCACTTCCGGCCCTCACTCAGCCAGGAGGAGGCAGGAGAAGAGGAAGGGTAAGTTGCTTCCTCCCTGCCTCTCCCCACCCCTGCCTGCCTGGGGCCAGGGAGGGCCTTCGCGGGGCTTCCTTGCACTCCCGCCGGCCTTGCAAGTCCCCCGCCGGGCCCCTCATGGGGCTCGGCAGTGGAGCTGTAAGGGCGGCGGCGGCAGCAGCTGGGACCGTTGGGGGCGGGTGTGTGTGGCCTTATGACACACTTCCGGTGATGTCAAGGGGTGTGGCATATGCTAATGAGTTATGCTAATGAGTTCCCCTAGCTCTTTTTCTACGAAACGACCCCTGCTCACGACTATGAATTTTCTACCTGGAAAATATACCCAGGTAGGAAATTCAAAACACATGAAGAAGATTCTTGATCTTCTGTGTTGCAGTTCAGACAACTGAGACATCTATAAATGAAACTTGGTATTTTTTTGGCGCTTCTCATAGTATGTACATAAGGATAATATGAAGTAGGGTTGCCAGCTTTGGGTTGGGAAATACCTGGAGATTTTGGGGGTGGAGCCTAAGAAGGGTAGGGTTCCAGTGGGGTATAATGCCATAGATTCCACATTCCAACGTGACCATTTTCTCCAAGTGAACTGATCTCTGTCACCTGGAAATCAGGTGTAATCCCAGAAGATCTCCAGCCCCCACCTGGAGGTTGGCAACTCTAAGTATTTTATTTATTTTATTTATTCCTTTGATTTGATATACCGCCCTAACCCCCGTAGGGGTCTCTGGGCGGTTTACATGGGAGAGGTGCTAATCACTTTTATACCCTAACTTAGGCCACATTGTTCTTGGGGGTGGGACTGCCTACCGGCACCCAGGTGGAGGCTGATGTCTCTTTGGTCCGGCTTGGCTCTATTCCCGGCAGTCTACTGGCTGGTTGGATGTTTTTCTTCTGACGCTCAGGTGGTCAGGCACAGAGTCAACGTCCTCCTCCGGCCGGCTGCGTCCTTTAGGCTCCGCCGCACCCGTGGATGACTTCACTGCGCGCTTCCGCTGAACGACAGCCGCTCGGTGTTTCTGCCGCTGGCCACCAGGGATTGCTCCTTCGGTCCCGTTGCTGCTGCTTGCTGCCGCTGCGTCGCCATGCCACGTCACCTCCACCGCCGGTACTCCGCTGCAGCCGATGTCCTGCTGCCGCCATTGCCGTCGCCGTCGTCGCCTTCCTCCACACGCCTCATCAGAGGAGGGTGCCCCCCACCCTTCTAAAGGTAGGTACCCATTTATCTACTCGTATTATAGTTCTACTTTCGAACCGCTGGGTGGGCGGGAGCTAGGACTAGGGTCGAGAGCTCACCTCGACCGTGGTGGGTCTCGAACAGCCATATTGGCTGCTCAAGTCTTGTTAAAGCAGGCGTTTTACTGCCTGCGCCACCGCTCCCTCTAAGTATGAAGTCCTGTCAGGGCTGTCAAGTTCCCATTGCCTGTCACTGTTCCAAAAAGTGGCAGGGGAAAAATTTAAAACACTCATTATGTCAATTCAGGGGGAAAACTGAACACAACAGTGATAGCTCTATTGTTTTCCAGTGATTCCTAGAGCTACCACTGTCACTTCCATATTTTCCCTGGAAGTGATGTTATCACTCTCATAATGCTGGCCGCCCAACATGTCCCCACCCCAAACCCCATATCCTGTTGAACCGATATCACAGTATGCTTTATACTACAATACAAGGTGACTATGAATCCATGTGCAAAAAGTTATTTTAAAATTTCTAAAACAGTTATAACTGGAAAGAACAAATAAGAAAAGAAGGTAATGTTGAAATTGGTTGAAGCACCTAATCAGAAAGGATAGTTCAATTAAGAGAGTTAAAAGTTTTGTTCAGAGCGGAAAGATTTTTGGGGAAATGTACCATAAATTTATTACATGCAGCTTGATGAATGGGAAGTCTTATGACAATTTTATGTTCCAAAAAATTGAATGAATCAATGTTCTGTTCATTCTATCC